TTCCTCCCCTCTCCCAGCGCCCACCAACTGTCTATAGCTCCTCAGCGAAAGTGGAGCCTCATGAGTCCCTATCCCATGGGGGATGGTTGACTGGCTTGATCTTATGTGCAACATACGCAGGGAGCTATAGCTGTTCTGAGTTAATAAATGAAACTCATGTCCAAAAGACAGCAAGCCACAGTGGTCCTTCCTACTCTCTGGCTCCTATAGTCTCTGCCTCCTCTTCTACGATATATCCTTGGCCCTGCTTGGGAGACTAACAGATGTCCCATTAATGCTGAGCACTTAACAGTTATTTTCATAGAACTTTGACTAATTTTGAGTTTCCACATTAACCTATGCCCATTGCAAAACAACTTAACTGATTCAAGTTTAGAGCAGCATAAATCTATGGCAATGAGCGTAATATTTAGAAGAGTTTGAGAACATGTCCTTTAGCAAAACATTGGTAGTAGGTTCCCATGGAGGGTCTATAATCTTCTAGTTGCGGACTTTTTGAAATAGGTTTACAGTACCAGGTGTGAATTCCCTCCTGTGGAGCAGGCCTCAAGTCCAGTCAGAGATCAGTTACCCCATAACACATTGCCACTATTTTACCAGTGACTTCAGATAGGTATTGCAGCATGCAGGATCCACCACTAGGTGGGGCTGCTGATGGATTACTTTCCTCCCCAGACTGGCCTACATAGCATCTTTAAGCACTATAAAAGCCAGAAGGGAGGAAGTTTCCAGGTCAGTTCCAGCTTAATTTTTCTATGTCCTGCATCTAAAATGTATAGTGTCTTTAGTAAAGGAAATCTTATCTACTTATGATAGACAGCTATTTTCCCTCTATCTTAGAGTTTTTATTGCTGAGATAAAATACCATGACCAAAAGCAACTTGAGAAGGGAAGGTTTATTTCAGCTTACACTTCTACATCAAGCCTATCAGCAAAAGGAATCAGGCAGGAACTGATGCAGCGGCTTAGGAGGAACTTCGCTTACTGGCTTGCTTAGTCTGTTTTCTTTCTTTCTCTTTTAAAAGCATTTCTTTTGATTTATTTATTATGTATACAGTGTTCTGCCTGCAGGCCAGAAGAGGGCACCAGATCTCATTACAGATGGTTGTGAGCCACCATGTAGATGCTGGGAATTGAACTCAGGACCTCTAGAAGAGCAACCAGTGCTCTTAACCACTAAGCTATCTCTCCAGCCCCTCAGTCTGTTTTCTTACTGCAACCAAGACCACCTGCTCAGTGTTGGCACCACCCATAGTGGGCTGGGCCCTCCCAAATCAATCAGCAGTACCTCCCAGATTTTGCTATAAGCCAATCTTATGGGTACAGTTTTTTTCAGTTAAGAATCCCTATTTACAGATATGTCTAGATTTGTGTCAAGTGGATAAAAACCAACCAGCATGTCCCTCTGTAGCATCTCAATAATAGGGTATCTATCTCTCTCTCTCTCTCTCTCTCTCTCTCTCTCTCTCTCTCTCTCTCTCTCTCGGGGCAGATTGCATGTTTCCCTTTGTAAAGTACACAAAGAGAATTTTGTATGTATCCATAACCTATATTTAATTTCAATTAGAATTCATTTAATACTTCTCATGTGATTCAGTAATAGAGTCAAAAGTTTAATTCCATTTATATAAATCTTCTTGTTAGGTTAACATACCTATTTTTCTTCAGAGCAATTTGTGTTAATCAAACGACCATATGTATGGTACTCATACCGTTTTCCACAGTACTTTTGGTAGACATTCCCTTTATTAATGGACTTGTTTTATGTGACTAACAGTAATAAACTAGCCTTTAAGAGAACTCTTCCCGGTAAGTTTCATTCAGAATGGATAATAGTAACTAGGCTTCATCCCGAAAAAACAGTAAAGAAATCCTAACCTAAATTATGTTCTTAAAAATAGAAGAGGTTTGAAACCACAGAAGATATCACAGAGGCAGCACAATACTTGGGGGAACTTACTTGATATCATCAGAGCAGCTGTTCTGGTCTAGGGGACATAGCAGTAAAGGTTCTTCTCTCACTTGTCTAGAATGACAAGGGTAAAATCAAAGTCTCGTCTTAAAGCTATGGTAGAAAAGATGCATGCAGCCTCTCCTTGGCCCTTCTGGTCTGCGGAGTAGTGATCTCCCGGAGATACTAATAGGCAAAGATACTAGTGAACAGATACGTGGTGATCGTTTCTACCCTTACACATAAGTAAGCATTAGCTTTTGCAGCTGAGAGTAGAGAAAATACTTCCATGTTTTCATATTGCTAGCTAGAATGTGGCTTGACCAGAAGAAAAATAGTGTCTGCTCTATACTCTTAGAATGTCACCATTAAAGCAACCCAGCATTTGTGTGCAGCTTTAGGGTGGTAAAATTTGTAGTTGGGCCAGAGAATATAACAGTGCATATAAAGAGAAAACTAGCAACCAGAGAGAGTTCATAGAGGCAGACTACCAGAACAAGCAAAATCTAGCAAAAGAATTATTTGAAGGAACTATACCGTTGAACAAAATAAGGGCATATAAGCAGATTGAATTATAATATGTAAATTCTTTATAACTAGAGAAATGGTTTTATTAATTTTAATATTGTTTATTAAAGCAAATGACCAATTTTGAATCAAAGAAAAAAAAAGAATTCTGTCTTTATATAGACCAAAATTAGTAGGTGATAAAAATCAATTGGAAGGGCTTATTTTAGAAGATTAAGAGAAAATCTTTATCTAAAGTACTGTGAGTCATAAAGTAAAAAAGCAAGAAGCAATATTTAAACACATAATGAAGTGATAAAGGATTTGAGAGTAGTACAGTTCAGAACAGCCAACTTTTGTCCATCCAGGGTGATCAAATTCCTGAATATCAAAGATGAGTAAAAATGTATGTTCCCGGAGAAAAGAATAAGTTATATGCAAAAAGGAGCCTAACTGGCATCAAGCAGTCTCACATTCGATAAAAGAAAGATGAACAATACATAATCCAAATATACTGTAGAGGCAAATCCCTGTAATCCTAGCATTTGGGAGGCCAAGGAGGACTTGCTTCTTTAAAGCTGTTTAGTTCTATGTCCAATTTATTAAAACAAAGCAAGCAAACAAACAAGGGGTGCAAGTTACAGTGGGCTGGAACTGCAATGTAAGAATCCTGTGTTCAGCTAAGAGAGCAGGCTTATCTTGTCTGAAGCAAACCATGGAAACAACATATGACTCATAACAGATTAACTTTGTGTAAGGAAAGGTAAGAAGACAGTACCCTAGCTAGGCATGGCTGCATACACCTGCAACCCCAATACCGTGGAGGCTGAGTCATGAAGATTGCTGTGAATCTGATGAGCATCTGAACTACAGAGTGAGTGCCAGGCCAGATGGTGTCACAAAGAACCAAAAAGAGACAAGACGAGGGGAGGGGAGAGAAGAGAAACAGAGACACTTTTTTGTCCTTTGTTCTTTGTTTCTGTGTGTGTTTCTGTGTGTATTCCTGGAGCTCAATATGTAGCCCAGGCTGGCCTCTACCTCAGAGATCTGCCTGCCTCTGCCTCCAAGGTGCTGAGATAAAAGGCGTGCCCCCCCACTACTCAGCTATGAGGTATACTCACAAACACATACACAAACCAATCTCAGTGTATAATTCAAAGGTAAAGTGGCTGATGCAGGAAGTTTGCTACAAGTTCAAGACTGTGTATCAAAAGAAAAAGTATTAGCAACTGCTAATATATCAAAAGGATATTAGACAGTTGACTGTATAATTTCAGAAACATTCTCATGATTTATTTCCAGAAAATCTGTATTAAAAGGAAAAAAAGTCATATTCATAGTGTAGGTTAGATTTGAAGTCATTCCTAGTGAAACAAAAGAAAGGGAGTTAAGGACAACAAAGCCATTCTTCAGTGCCTATTGCATTGCAGAATGGAAACACGTCACAGACACTTCTGTCAGAATGGGAAACTAAAGAGGGACCCTTCTGCATTACCAGCCTGTTTAGTTTATCTTAGGACCAGAAATAATGGGAATAACTATTAGTAAAGAGAATACTTGTTTCTGTTAGGGTTTTTTGTTTGTTTGTTTTGTTTTGTTTTGTTTTGGTAAATAACTAATGTTAACAAGGTAAACTGTTGAAGTACCTCAGAACTGAATAAATGGGCACACACTTTTCTTTGCTAACAAGAAAAGTAGTAGGTTTATAAAAAGCTGTATATTTTGGGTAATATAAAAAAAGATTAAGTATAAAAACATAGCTACTTCTGAGATTTAAAAAAATATATAAAATTAAATGTAAGTCTTCTTCAAATTAAGTGCATTTAATTTTAGTCTTTTTTTTTTTTTTTTTTTTTTTTTTTGCCTTGGGTTATTTTTGAAACTGAACAACAAAAAGGCTCCAGCATATATGGAAGGATAAATACCTAAGAGTAGTCAAGAAAAGAAGCTAAGTGGGGCTTGCTTACCAAATCATTAAACATACTGTATAACTTCTGTGACCAAAAGAATAAAAAGGACTTGGAATAGAAACTAAAACAAAGTCAAAAATAAGATACAGTGAAATAGGAGGGTTAATGTATTGATCAATATAATTGATTTTAATTCAGTGGGAAGAGGATAGATATAACCATCTATCCATATAGAATGAAATCTGTCCATATAACAATGAATATGAAGTTTAAAAACCTTAGGAAGAAAATGTAGTAGATTGTTTCTATTTTGTATTTCATAAAATTGAAAACGTGTTAGCTTGGAATCTGGAAGAGAATTCAGATCTTCTGTGATTTCTCTTAACTGTACTTTTAGTCATGGTGTTCTAATGACTATCAGAAGATAAATGAACTGTTGGAATTGATTCTTGTAATTCTTCCTTCTAAAGTTTATTCTGAAGGTGTTCAAAGACATTATTTTCTATCCTGTTTATGCCAGGCCGTTATAGCGCTCTAAATTTAGAGTTACTTGTACTATTTGACTGTGGAAATCCGTTTCCCTTCAGTCAGTTAGTTGCATCTGATAACAGCTGTCACTTTTTCTACCCGAGGGTATGAAAGTGCCAGTGTGTCTAGCACGTGTGAACCTTGCAAGAGTAGGAACAGACATTCAGCCCAGACTGAAGAGCCTGGTCAAGCAAAATTATTCAGCAGAAAGAATCATGAACAGCTGGAAAAAATAATAAAATATAGTAGGTCTGCAGAAATATCTTCAGGTATGTTCCTCTTTTTTGTTTATTTTAATCCAAGGAATTCATCTTAAATTTGAAAAGCTACACTAAAGCAAGTTTTAGTAATAGGCTTTCACAGATTTCTGTCTTGTGAAAGATTTTAATCATAGAAAAATGTAAACTAGAAATATTTTTTGTTGCTGTGATCTCTTTAATGTTTCTGACACATTAAAAATTATTTTAAAATAAGTAATTGATATTAATATGGAATTCCTAATTGAAATTCTGAAAATCTTACCTAAATAGGATTTGATTTGAAATCTCATTACTTCCTTTCTTAAAACATTTGCTATATCATGCCTGTACTAAAGTGTGCGTCCCTTAATATAACAACTGTGGCCATCAAGGAATTGGTTCCTTTCTCACGTTCCTCTGCCTTAAACTCTTTTCTTTTAGTGACACTGAATTAGAGCATTCCCGTGGCTGCCGTGTTATCTTTTCCGTATCACACCCATCCCCTTTTTGCCTCCCTCCCGCACCCCTTTAAGCTCCTTTCATTCTTAAATAAAATTTTAATTATGGAATCTCGAAATTGTATCTGAGTCTAAGGTTGGCCACTTTTCACTTTCATTTTCATTCTTGCCTGTATAAACCTTTTCTATTATCTGAGTCACAGAATATAGTATTAAATATTTTAGATGTTTGTGTCATCCTTTTGAGTGCTTTGGTAGCAAACAACTACTTTTATATTTTTCTACTAAATTTGGTATAATACATGATAGGTGGTACACTCTCCATAAGTGTTCATTGAATAGAGTCATGACTATCACCATTTTAAGTCAGCACCAATATTTTACTGATTTACAAAGAATAGGTACATCTCAGATACATAGAGAGAGTCAGTAAATATAGATTTATAATCTCATTTGTCTCCTTTGGTGAAAATGATCTCAGCTACCATTTGTATCATACTTACTACTTACATTTTTTTTTTCTTTGTTTGTTTCATAGAATTTTTGACCAGGTCATTTGAGCCTCATAATGCCATTGTTTTGCTTCTGTTTTTCAGTACTGTTAAAAGGCTGGCAATATGAAATTGTACTTTCTTGTAAACTTTGCCAAACGGTGCCCTTAACTTAGTATATGTTCTTTGGAATTCACCCTAAGGGAGCAGAAGTGAGAAAAAAATTGAAGGTTTAGTGTTGGCTGAACAGTCTGATTCTAGCTATGTATGAATAAAAATGTAAAGGAAAATAAGGGTAGAAGAAATATATCAAAACATTTGCAGTGGTTTTGTGATCTATAAACTCATTTATAGCTTCTGAAATGGATATAGTAGATAGTTGTTAGTTTTGTAGTTAGAAACTTCACATTTGCTTGTATTTTGAAATGGCTTTCTCAAGCTCATATTGCTAGGAGTTAGTAACACTGAACTTTTTAACTATAAAGTACAGGATTCTTTTGGGAAAAATAGTAATTCTATTGTACTAGAAAAAATTAGTATTATTATTTCCACAGAAAGTTTGTTTTCCAGACCTTATAGTTGTCAGATTAAAAAAAAAAAAAATTGAGTTCAGGCATGGTGGCACATGCTGTTAATTCCAGTGCTCAGAGGGCCGAAACAGGCATATCTGTGTAAGGTGGAGGCCAGTTTTGTCCACATACCGAGTTGTCTACTAGCCAGGGCCACATAGTAATAACCTGTCTCAAAAAATTATTGAATTTTGGTGAATTAAATAGTTTTGAGTGTAAAAATATACTAAATATGCTACTCATTAATATTCTAAAGGACGTGTTTTTCATTTACTGTGACCCTAATATTCTCTACATTGTTTATTGATGCTTGTTGTAACTTGGCCTATAACATGCTAATTAGAGTGCAGCACTTATTGCTATTATTGGATTATGCTTTCCTCTTCTCCCACGGGAATTATAGGAGTGTCAGGGTGTTTTTATACTCCCTCTCCTCAAAAAAAACAAACCTCAATGACAGTGCTTCACCGTGACTCTCATCATTAGTCACAGCAACTTTATAGCAGAGTTTCTTTAATGAGATTACATCCCATTTTTAAATTTTAAAAGTATATATTTTTTTAAATAAAATAGTTTTGTTGCTTATGTGTTTATGTACCACGTGCCTGACTAGTGCCTCTGAGACTGTAGTTGTAGGTGGTTGTGAACTGCCACATGAGTGGAGAATCAAGCATGGGTCCTCTTAACCACTGAGTCATCTCTCTAGCCCATCTAATGAGAATGTTTCCAAATATAGCATAAACTATTCCTTGAAATAGCATGTCACTATAGGCAAACATTTTTAATTAATTGATTTTTCTCATTCGCTTATTATAAGCGTTTTACGTCTTTACAACATATACATATTTTATGTTCAACCTGTGTCTATCCTTTCCTACAGCACATGCTAAAATGCTAGAGCAATCTAGCAAATCTAACAGAAGTGCATGTGATGAAGCACCAGGTAACAGTCTGCTTAGTTCTGGTGTCCATGTTTTTTACCTTTTTTTTTATTTACTGAAGCTAAAATCCTTATGTTATCCTGAAATTTTTTGTTTGTTTGGTTTTATTTTATGAGTCACAGAGCCTTGGCTCTTCTGGAGCTTTCTGTGTAGACCAGGCTGGCCTTGAACTTGAGAACTACCTGCCTCTGCTTCCTGAGTGCTGGCATTAAAAACATGAGCTACCAGACCCAACTTGTTTTTTAGTTTTATCTATGTTGGTGCTTTGCCTACATGTATATCTGAGTTGGATGCCCAGGGCTAGAGCTACAGACAGTTCTTCGCCACCGTGTGGGCTCTGGGTCCTGGAAAAACAGCTAGTACTCTTAACTGTTGAGCCATTTTTCTAACCCTGGAATTTCTTTTCTTTTTTGGATTTAACTTAATATATCTATGTTTCTGAACGTAGAAAGATAAAATACTCATATTCTAAAGTCTTTCATTTATAATTTGCTGTTGGCAAAACTGCCTGCCTTTCTTGTTTTGTTAACATGAAACCTAGCTAACACGTCTGTAAACGTAATAGAAACTGTTTTTGTAGTATTGTTTGAAAGTTATTTGTTTCATATATCTGAAATAGTGAAAAGCATTAAATTTTTTTGTAAGTAGATACAGGTGTTTTTATACCATAGCTATTTATTTTTCACTATCAGTCAATATCTGAAAAAAATTAAATAAAAACCAATGATTGGCATAGACTATAATAAATAAAGATCATAGAAATTTAGAAATATTCCAAAATGCTACTTTGATTCCAAAATACATATTTGTATTAGATACAGTCTTATATGAATTAGAATTACAAAAATATTTTACCTCCTCCAGCAGTAGTGAGAGGGATTTTTTTATTTCATATGATTCATATGATTTATAGTTATAAAAGCATTTTCGTTCCTTTTGCAGCAGTATGTGAATGGAAATGTAAAGTCCTATTTGAATCCTTAGGAGTCTCTAAAGAAAGTTAAACAATGGCGAGAGTGTTGACTGAGCTGTTAAAGGCCCGGTTCGTCACCAAAATGTCAAGTGAAATAAGAACCCAGACCTACAGCAGTAGAATCAGGATTAGGTTGGCAGAGATTAGGGAGGTTTCTAGCATTAATTTTAGTTTAGGAGGAAAGACTGACATGAAATTTAAACCTTCTAATTGTATTTTAAAAAAGAGTTGAAGGTTGTAATTAATTAGGAGTAATTTTATTATAGAATAATAATTTTATCATATCAAACTATTAAGCCATAAATACACTACTTTTTTAGAGCTTTGAAAGAAACATTTTAAAAATTAAACTATAATTAACATGCTGTATATGGATTGAAAGTTTATATAACAAATAGTACCTCCTAGTCTGGATTTTTCTTCCTTGAAGTGGAGATTTCTTGGTTTTCATTCCTACTTAGTTAATGTTACTTTTATTTTAATATATCACATATGGATGTTTTGAAACTATTAAGAGAACCTTAATATATCACCTTTTAAAATGCATAGCGGTCTTAAGGAATGATAGGATAGGTTGCATGTCTTTTATGTTTGTGGGATTTAATACCTGGTCATGTAACTTAGCTAATTAGTGCAGAGGTTTTTTTGTTTGATTTTTTTTTAATCAGCATACATTACTGCTGCATTATCTTATCCCTATTCTGCAGAAATGATTACATCTTCATTTTCTTTTTATGCCTTTCAAATAAACGACATTCATTGAAACACTCAACATTTTTTTTTATCTTTTTCTTAGAATCATTACTTGAAAAAATGCTCTACCAGCTAGCTCAGTCGGTAGAGCATGAGACTCTTAATCTCAGGGTCGTGGGCTTGTGCCCCACATTGGACGCCAAATGTAGATGTAACCAACTGTCTTATTAAATAAGAAACACAGAACCAATGCAAAGAAGAAAGCCAAGAGATCAGAGCTAAGAGCCTTACCCTGCAGCTAGCCTCTTAAGCCAAGAGACCTCTCCGAAAGAGCGCTACTTCCTGTGTGTTTGTCTTTATATAGTCTTTCTGTTCTGCCTTCTCATTGCTTGTAAACCCAAACACATGACTACCTCGTCACTGCCTGTCTATAGGGACTTCCAGGTCTTCTATGGTTGGGATTGAGATTAAAGGCGTGTATCTCCAATGCTGGCTGTATCCTTACACAGAGATCTACCTAGCTCTGTCTACCAAGTGCTGGGATTAAAGGCATGCGCCACCACCACCATGCTCTTGCTATGGTTCTAATAGCTCTGACCCCCAGGCAACTTTATTTATTAACATACAATTAAAATCACATTTCAGTACAAATAAAATACCACCATAGTAACTAGATACTTGCAGTTCTACCAGTGTTCCAGAAAGATCACAGAATTTGGGTGTGGGCTGCTTTTGTCTTTGTTTCTTTTTCTAGAGAGAACACATTTCCTGTTTGTACCCTGAAAAAAGTCTAGGGCTAAGCATATAATTCAAGGTAGCATGTGTGAGGCCCTGGGACTGGTTTTCATCACTACACCCCCCAACAAAAAGAGTATGACTTTAAAAGTGTTGTCAACAGTTTATGTGGCAGTATTTTAGATAAATAATATAGTGATGTAGAGTGTCTGTAAAACTGGCAACTATTACTTGGGCACCTTCTGCTCTGATTTGAACCAGTTATGTAAATATGACATTGTAGTGAAATTAACCAGTTATGGCATAATTGTGCATTATTAAGCCGCAGCATTTTTTTCAGCATTAATAAATGGATTTTCGTTTTAATTATGAAGTTCATATCACCAAAATTGTTTTAATTTAACTTATTGCATTCAGTGCTTATAGATTTCAGTCATTAGTCCCATGAAGTACATATAATTTTCCAGGTTTTGTTTTTAATGTGGGTTTGGCTTAGTTTTCAGACCAGTTTTTGGCTATGTAGCCCAAGCTGCTAGTTTTAACTTTTAGCCCTTATGTTCCACACTGCTGGGTAGGCTTTACCACACCTGGTCAATTTTTTAAAATTGAGATTAATTTAATATTAATTTTTAGTTAATATGATGCTGTGTGGCATCAGATATTGCTATTCTTGAATTTAAACATTTTAATACATACTATTTATCTCGATGTTTTAAGATTATTTCTTTAAAAGCCCTAAAATAGAATTGTGTTCAGTTATAGCTTAGAAAATTATATAGATTAATAAGAGGTATTACAAAGGTATTATATTGTTGTTATTTTCTTGATTTTTTTTTTTTTTATTTTTATCTTCCAGAAACTGGAAGTGATTTTTCCATGTTTGAAGCTTTACGGGATACTATTTATTCTGAAGTAGCTACATTAATTTCTCAAAATGAGTCTCGTCCACATTTTCTTATTGAACTTTTCCATGAGCTGCAGCTACTTAATACAGACTACTTGAGACAGAGGGCTTTATATGCATTGCAGGTATCTGGTACCTCATTATTATTCTATCAGCTTACTCCATGTTTATATATGGTTGCTTTCTTAAGTGGAGCACATCCTTGCTCTCTATGTGTTTAGATTTATTTTTGGCTTTTTGCAGCATTTTATTTTAAATTTCTTATATAGCTTCAGTATGTTTTAGGTTATCTTTACATGCATGTATGTGTGTGTGTGTGTGTGTGTGTGTGTGTGTGTGTGTGTGTATTTGCCTTGTATTTAATCTATGAAAAGTACTTAATTTTTTCTTCTATCTGCCTCTGCTTTTAAGTTTGTAACATAAATTTGGAATGAAGTGTGTGTGTGTGTGTGTGTGTGTGTGTGTGTGTGTGTGTGTGTGTGTGTGTTGTATATAAATGTCTTTATTTCCTTATTTAGGATATTGTATCCAGACATATTTCTGAAAGTGATGAAAAAGAAGGAGAAAATGTAAAATCCGTGAATTCTGGCACTTGGGTAGCATCAAACTCAGAACTTACTCCAAGTGAAAGCCTTGCTACTACTGATGATGTAAGCCAATATGATATGTTAAATGTGAACATACTTTCAATATATAATAAACAAAAGTTGAAGTTATTGTCAGATTGTGGCTTTACCTAATATAGTTGATGTTTAGCTTTTAAAAAATGATAGAGAATGCTACAGTAGCTGGGCGGTGGTGGCACATGCCTTTAATCCCAGCACTCAGGAGGCAGAGTCAGGCAGATCTCTGAGTTCAGAGCCAGCCTGGTCTACAGTGTGAGATCCAGGACAGCCAAGGCTGTTACACAGAGAAATTCTGTCTCGAAAATACAAAATAACACACCCTGCAATAGCCACACGTCTCTTTAATAGAAATTTAAATAAGTCTTTGTTGTGTTCTTCAGAACCATGAGTAAGACAAATAGCAGTCAGATCGCAGAAAAACATGGACAAAAGAAGATGAAGAAAAAAATTTAATGTATTCTACTTAGACAAATGTCTGAATAAAATATAAAGAACATGGAAAATGGCAGGCTACTTTTATATGTTAGATACTTGGGAATGGCCTCTTTATAGGTTCAGATGTTGATTTTGGTTCTTGTATAGCAAATGCTTTTTTTTAATAACACAAGCACCTGGAGATCTCTGATTAGGAATAGAATAATTGGTTAGCAGACATCTGCTTATAGGTAAAGTGTTGGAATAACATTGTTGTGATTTTTCTCACTATTATAATGTTAACATAATGTTTTCTAAAGATACTTCTCCAAAAGGATATTTTGTCTTTTTTGTTTGTTTGTTTGTTTTTCTTGTTTTTTCGAGTTGTCTCTTTTTTTAGATAAGAATAATTTGCTTAGAAACAATTGAGGATTTTCTCTTATTTTTTACTCTTAAACTCATGTTGAAGACAATTCCTCCTTTTTCTACTTAAAATTGTTCTTCACTGTGCTCTAAATCTTAGGCTACTGCAAAAAAATATGTTTAAAAATTACATAGTTTATATTTTGTTGTGCTTGTACACATATAGTACATATATATGTTATAATGTGTATATGAATGTGTGTGTGTGTGTTATATGTGTTTGTGTACCTGTGTATAGAGGCCAGAAGTTGGCATGGAGTGTCTTCCTTGACACTCTATATTGCTCTCTATATTATCTTTTGAGACAACACCTCTCATTGAACCTGGTGTTTGCTCATTACTAGACATTGTGATAACTTGGGAAAGACTCAGTCCCATAGTTTTCATTTTTATAATGGTAAATAAATTAGGAAATGAATACTTAGTACTTTGATAAATTATTACAAGTAAGTGAAAGTGGTATGTTCCTCTTTGCAAGAAATGAAAAATGACACAATTGTCTATGTATTTATTCATTCATTTGGGGAAGAGGAAGAAATTACTAGATTATAGTAAGGATTATTGGATTTTATCATTGAGATAACTTGGAAAAGACTGATACAAAGTGACAGAAATTGTCTGGGTGACAGATGATCGAGATTAACTGTAGAGGATACAAAAAAGACCTTGGCTGATGGAAATTGTCATTATATATATGATATATATATATATATATATATAACATTATATATTATATATATAGTATTATATCATATCATATCATATTATATTATATATACTTATTTTTTGGAGAGAGGGTCTCACTGTGTAGCCCTGGCTGACCTAGAACTCCCTATATAGACCTGGCTGGTGAACTCACAGATATCTGTCTGTCTCTGTTTCCTAAGTGCTGTGACTAAAACTACCATGTCAAGCTAATGGTCTTTTACTTTAGAGAAGCTGATTATGTAAGTTTATCCATTTGTCCAAACTCATCAAACTATACACCTAAAATGAGTACATTATTATATGTTAATTGTGCCAAATAAAATATAATTTCATAAAATTGTTAATGTCATGTTGTTCTTCACATATAAGACAATGAGATACATATAGTAAGTATCTAGAGATAAAGTGTCTGTGAGAATGTAAAGACAATTTAAAATGTTAACTATCAATTTATAATTTTTAATGAGTTGGCTTTCTTATTTTTATTTAGCAAGGAAGTTCTCCAAGATTACTTAATATTTTAATTTTTTTAATGGCTCTTTAATAACTTGGGTTACATTGTGGTCTTGTCTGGGTAGAGTACTCATGTAATTTCTTATCTCTTTTAGATGTGTGGTTTTATGGAAATACCAGTTTCTGTGTTAGATTTAATATTTATGAAATGCTTTAGATGGACTATTTAGTGATTTTTGTTTATTTAACCTAGGAAACTTTTGAGAAGAACTTTGAAAGAGAAACACACAAAATCAGTGAACGGAACGATGCTGATAATGTGAGTGTCATGTCTGGATCTTCCAACTTTGAACCTTTTGCAACAGATGATCTAGGTAAGCAGAGCTTTCTTCATAACCTTGCATATGACTTTACACCATGATCTCTTGGCAGTCTTTGGGTAGTTGAATAAATAAATAACTAGGATGGACACAAAAATATCCATTAGTCTAAATCCATGACTCTTGTTTATTCCTTGACCTGGGGAAAATCATCTACTCTCTAAGCTATGCACATGCTGCTGAAGTAGGACTCTTGTCGAATAGGCTACATTCTTGGGAAAAACAAAAAACCTTCAAATATGAATAATAAGAGTTTTAGGGTTTTTTTTAATGGGATTTTATTTTTCCTTAAGGAAAAAGGTCATATACTTAGTTAGTGAAAAATCCATGGTTTCTCCACAAACATTTTCAATAAAAATATGAAGTTAATGGTTTGAGGTAAAAACTCAGATTTTCTAACAATCCCTTTACTTAACTGGTTATGCAGTCTGAGGCAAGCTACTTAAGTGCTGTCATTTCTAGGGTAATCTAAGGATTAAACAAATAACTGATGATGCTGTACATGAAGTGCCTCATTAGCACAATAAATGGAAATTCTTCCAAAGCTAATTCTGGGCTTGAGAGATGTTTCAGCAGTTAAGAGCACCTACATCAGATGGCTCACTACTGCCTATAACTCCAGCTCCAAGGGGACCAACATCTTTTTCTGGCCTCAGTGGGCTACCCACACACATGTGGCATTCACTTACACAGACACATACATATACATACACATAAATAAAAATAGGTCTTGAAAAAAGCTAATTTTTCTTCCTTGTGTTCAGATTTTTATATTTTTGAGAGTATGGGAAAAGATTTGCTTTTACATATTCTAGGAATATTTCTGTTCCAAATTCAGGTAACACTGTGATTCACTTGGACCAAGCATTAGCCAGAATGAGAGAATATGAACGCATGAAGACTGAGACTGAAAGTAACTCAAATATGAGATGTACTTGCAGGGTTGTTGAGGATGAAGATGGTGCTGCTGCCACTACCACAGTCAGTAATTTAGAAGGTGTGTTTTTAGAGTGATCAGAAGTCTTAATCAGAGTTGCATATAGAAACTCTAAAGCGAGCTGGGCATAGCTATAATCCCATCACTCAAGAGACTGTAGCAGAAAGATTATAGTTTAAGTCTAGTTTTGGCTACATTACAAATTCAGGACTAGTCTAAACTATATACTTGCCACTCTGTGTTTAAAAAAAAAGTTAAAGCCCTTTTTAATACTAGTGGTTTTATTACTGCTTTCCTTTGATTATAAGGACTGCTAAAACTACTTGGTTTTTCCTTTGTATTATTTTAGCATAAAATTATTATAACATTCTATAAAATATTATATGAATGTGTATATATCTCTGTATATAATATCATTGGCTTTTGCTGATACATCATTTTTCTTAAAAAGTAGAAACTCCCATTACTGAGAATCACATTTCGCCACAGCCTGTAAGTGACGTTTCTGCTGTCCCGTGTCCTAGAATTGATACTCAACAACTGGACCGCCAAATTAAAGCAATTATGAAAGAAGTCATTCCCTTTTTGAAGGTAAAAAGTAAACCAGCTTATGTAATTACTAACAGCGACCGTATATACTTCCTTGTAAATAGTGCTGCCAACATTAACAGGGCAAAGAAAAAAACGTGCCCGTGGAATAGGACTGGGTGTGGTGTTGCACGCCATGCTAACACTCAGGAGGCCTCAACAAGCAGATCTCTGAGTTTGAGGCCAACCTGGTATACACAGTGAGTTCTAGGTCAGTTGAAGAAACAAATTGCTTTCTGAAATTGCATACTATGATTTCATTTAAAAGAAGAATTTTAAAATTGCACTCTTTTCATCTAAAGTAAAAATTTCAAAAATTGGAAATTTTAAAAATTGGAAATGAAAACATAGTTTGCATTTCACCCAGATATGGAAAACTATAAAATGTGTTGCCATCAGGCTCATTTTAAATTTTTCTTCCCATAACTTTTTTAAAAAATGGTTTTTCCATACAGTGTATTCTGATCATTGTTTACCCTCCCTCATCTCCTCCTAGATCTCCCTACCAATCCAACTCCATGCCTTCTTTTCTTTCTCTTTATAAAGCAGGCAAATAAACAAACCAAAATAGAACAAAACAAACAGAAAACACGAAAAAGCACGACTACACACCTGCGTATGTACACGTGTATACATACACACAGAAAAACCATAAAAATAGGAGACCAGAATATCTAAGGTCAACCTTTGGTACCATGTAGTTTAGCCATCTCATTGTTAGTAGGAGAGTGGAATTTGACCTGGAAAAATAGTGACAGGACCTGTTTAATGAATTAATAGCAGAAAAGGAATGAGAACCCTGGGATTACTTGTTACAGGTCTACTTGAGACTGACCTTGAGAAGCTAACCAGGCTGAGGTTTATTTCATAACTGACGTATAGTTTTGGTTTTTTGAGACAGTTTTTAATATGTAGCCCAGGTTGGCCTAGAACTTAAAACAGTCCTCCTGCCTCACCCCCCAAGTGAAGTATACCACCACACTTGGTCTTCTTTCACAAGGTTTTTAAGGTGCAGTTAAGAAGAGATTTGCCCTAAGTGGCATTGAAAGCAAGTTAGGAAGACATCTAATACCTAGAGGCATTTTTAGTTCTTGGTATGGGTGCAGTTGTTGCTGATGGAGTTACTCGCAACTGTTAGAAGACCATGGCAACTCTTACAAGAAAAAGCATTTAATTGAGGGCTTGCTTAGTTTCAGAGGATTAGTCCATTAGCATGACGGCAGGCATGGCAAGTGTGGTGCTGGAGTTGTTGAGAGCCCTGCTGATCTACAGGCAGAGAGATATTGGGCCTGGCATGGGCTTTTGAAACCTGAACATCCTGTCCCCAGTAATCCTCTTCCTCCAACGAGGCCATGCTTCCTAAATCTTCTAATCCTGTCAAAGTGGTCCACTCCCTTCTGACTAAGATTCAACTATCTGAGTCTCAGGAAGCCATTCTTATTTAAACCACCATAGATACATACATAGTTGAAATGATGAACTATAAACAGGAAGATACACAAATTGAAGGACTGGTGTGCATAATTCTCCTTAGTACAGAAGGGAAGTGATGGAAAGTATTGGAACAGGAAATTTATTAGTCATTTTCTGGTGTGTGGGTTAAAATCTCCAAACTGTTCAGTGTGTATACTGTAGAGACTAGCCACTCTTAGGGATCTTTCCAATATCTCTCTGGAAAATGAGAAATTATGCAAGAGAAAGAAATTTAAAATTGTGTAGATTTTTTTTAAAATAATAGTTGAGTTTATGGCCTAACCTACTAGGATTTTTCTTAGGAGCATATGGATGAAGTATGTTCTTCTCAACTTCTTACTTCAGTAAGACGTATGGTTTTGACCCTTACCCAACAAAATGATGAAAGCAAAGAGTTTGTCAAGTTCTTTCATAAACAACTAGGAAGTATATTACAGGTAAGAGTTTATTTGTATATATGTTACATCTATACCATTTGGTTAGGGTTCTATTGACGTATTCTGATATTATACAACTTATTCAAGAGTCCATTCTAATACTCATTTTGGATGGCATTTTAATATTCTCTTTATTTAGTTAAAAATTGTAAGAGAACCTTCTGTATTTTTATTTACCATGGCCATCTTCAAAGGCCTGTCATAACTCCAGTAATAATCTATTGGCTTGAAAGGGCTGGAGAGATGGCTCAGCTGTTAAGAGCACTTGCTACTCTTCTAGAAGACCTGGGTTTGGTTCTCAGCACCCTTGTCAAGGTGGCTAACAACTGCCTGTGACTTCAGCTCCACGGGCTTAGGAAATTGCCACTCTGTTCTGTTCTGGGGGGTTTTTTTTGGTTTTTTTTTTTTTTTAAGGCGTCTGCACACACTTGGCATACCCACATAGATACACACACATACACATGAATAAGAAAATTTTAAAACTGGTTTGATATTCTACCAATAAGAATAGTTCAAGACTGAAATGCTTAGAAAGCATGCTCTGATTTAATTTTAAATAATCTGGGAAATTTTCGAAGCTAGAAACCAGCCTCTAATTAGAGAAAGTTTTTAGAGCATAGTTAACTTTTCTTTCTAACAGTTAGTATGTATTCAATAACTGGCATTTCACTCTCCTTATCGGTTCTATTTGAAGTCTTTAAGCTCCTCTCTCCCAGATAGTCATGACATAGGTGAAGGTTATGGGTTGCTGTGAACTGTGGGCATGCCACTCTGGCAAAGCGAATTACACTGAACCTTCTATTTGTTTTGTACCTGTTACCTGACTTCCTTTATTTCCTTCCCTCCCACATTGCCTCGCCTCTAGTAATCACTTTCTAACGCTCAGATAAACTGCAGCTTTAAATTATATTAAGGCTGTGGTTCCCAGCTCAAGAAGATTTTGTGTGTCCCAGGAGGCATTTGACAGTGTCGTAGATGTTTTGTTTCGTATAGCAAGTAAGTTGGGAGAGAGATAAGAAGGAAAAGGAGAAAGAGATGTATTAGGTAGAGGCCAGGCATGCTGCTAAACCTATACTGAAACAATTTTCTGGTCCTAAATGTCAGTAATGCTCAGGTTGTGATACTCTTCGGTAAGTAGACTCCTTAATTACTCCACATAACAAAAATCATTTCCATTGTGATCACCTGAATATTTTCACATTGAGACAGTTCATTGATGGGTATTGCTACTCTAGATTAGATAGTACATTTTTCTTTCATCTTGATGGGAAGTTTTTCTATGAAATTTTGTCTTGCTTTCTTTGCAGAAGTTAAACTGATTTTTAGGTGAGGTACTATCACTTTACCTGTTAGCTAATTTAAAACTTTGGTTAGATACTAATTTCCTTCACTATAATTTTCCATTTTGTTAGTATTAAGATTAAAGCACAAATTCAGTAATAATCTCAAAATTGTTCTGACTCTTGTTTAATACATAATTTATGAGGTATATAATTCATCAGTGATCTTGTACTTTGTACAAATAGGATTTATTAGCATATTACTAGAAAAATTATAAATAATGTATTCTTACAGCAATATCTGAAGTAGTAAAAACATTTAAGATAACTTATGGATAATAAATTTTTATAAATTTAACCAGCTAGCTTATTCCAAGAGAAAGAAATAGCTATTTTAGAATGTGTTTAAAAGAGAAATTATTTAAAACTCGTAATTTTAATCAATGTCTGTGCAGCTCTTCTAAGAAAATTTGACTACCTTTCTTCATTTCCTTCCTGATTTCTTTCACAGTTTCATGTCTATTAAAGAACAAAAGCTAATTTAAATATTACCTAGACTCTTTTCTGTCTTCCCCTTTTTTTCCCTCCTTCCCCCCGCTTCCCTCCATCTCCACTTTTTATCATGAACTAGACCTTAAAGTATGGGCTGCTGATTTTTTCTTCTGAGATCTGTTGAGAAGTTTGGGGTTGCATACATTCTATTTCTGTGACTGTATGATAGTGTTTCTGTGTTGCTTTCTTTGGGGCAGTAGGTCAAGTGACACAGCAGTGTAGCTTACCTTTTCTCTAAGTAGCATAGCCCATAGTTTTGCAAGAAAGAAAAAGGGAAATCTTTTATATAAAATAGCACAGTTACTCATTTGATGATGCTGTATTTCAGCTTGAGTAGAACTAATACTTCCTTATAAACTTATTCTGTAGAAAATTTTCAGTGAGAGTGACTAGTTGGCTAATGTAAAGGAAGAAACTAACAATTTGGTACCATGTAGATTAGGAAGACAATTTATCCTCACATAGTAATCTTGTTTTACAGTAGTACATATATAGTCCCAACATGTACTCTCTGGGAACTTTTGGGAGACTAGGAGTCGGTTTTACTCATTTGTGCCCAAGAATTATATTAAGGAAGTACTATATTTATACATATATAGAATATACAGTGTATATACCATATATTCTTTTCCTTCCCTTGTGTATACTCTGAGTGGGGCTACCAAGATGCCTGCTTTGTAATAGAATATTTCATAGTAATACTAATCTGTCTCTATATAGCCATGGCTTTAGTGTTAAGTTTTCCAATACTTTGAAAGTATTAGGAACAAGGACAACAACAGTAGACATGCTAATGTAGACAGGGGGAGCCCCAGGAGGTCTCAACCATGTACAAAGAGCTAACACTAAGTGAGTAGATGAGGACATAAATACAAGTAACGTTATACAGCCTGAGCAGGTTCTGCTTATGTATTTCTGTATACATACATAAATGTCAGTAGTAATATAATGAAGTCAGAGTGAAAGAGCAAGGAGGGGTATATGGGAGGGTTTGAAGGGAGGAAAAGGAAAGGAGAAGGATATTAAAATCTCAAAAAACAACTCTGTGTGTATATACACACACACACACATATAAAATTTTAGGAATACTGTTTTTTTCTCGGCAACTATTATAATTTAATCTTTTAAACCACCTGTAGTGTTTTATGCACAGTTGATGATCTTAAAATTATTTATTTTATCTTTAAATAGGATTCACTAGCAAAATTTGCAGGCAGAAAACTGAAAGACTGTGGAGAAGATCTTCTTGTAGAGATATCTGAAGTGTTGTTTAATGAATTGGCTTTCTTTAAGCTCATGCAAGACTTGGATAATAATAGTATAGCTGTTAAACAGAGATGCAAAAGGAAAATGGAAGCAGCTGGAGTGATACAGTCTTATGCAAAAGAGGTAACTTTCAAGTTGTGCTTGTAAGAAGAGTTGTTGTCAGCCTGTCAATACAGTTCTTGATTATTAGTGGTAAATAAAGTCTCCTTTGACCTCAACAAGAACAGTTATTTTTCATAAAACCAGTTAGTCAAATTTGTAAGTCAGTACATGGGCTACATACTAAACTTAGTATTCCACCATCAAGGCGAGATCAAAAGGGCAGACAGGAATTGATGCTAACTGTGAATTGTGAGGTGTCCAGTTCACTTTCGTATTGCTTACTAAGAGCTCCAAAGAGGAGAGAACCCGGATCTGGTTCCTGGACAGCTTCCCTATGATGGCTGTTGCCAAATGTCATTGAGTCTCTGAGAATATGTGTCACAAGGAAGTCACTTCCAGCCAACAAGCATCTGCCCGTTGGCTAGGGCTCTCATTTTTCATCTCTAGTTTTTCTGCTTTGTTAATTCATGACTGCATGTGATCCTGATCAGTTAGTTCTCCTGTATTGGAAAGCTTACTGGGCACCCCCTTTCCTTACCCTCTGACCACGAGAAGGGACAGCAGGCCAAGACCCAGACAGAGAAACCTTTCTAACTTAGAGTCTTCTCCTCAGTGCTCCTGGTTTTATTCTAGACAGAAATTCATTTCAACCATTGCTAAATACACAAGGGACATAAAGAACACCATAGTAGGTTACTGGAAAGAAGTCTTAGTCCGCTTTAGGTCGGCAGTCTCATGAGACTTTCCCCGGGGGCTGAAATATGAGCTAAGACTGAAAGATAGAGGAGTTCGTCAGGAAGACTGGGGAAAGCTTTCCATAGAGATAGAGCTCAGTGTAGTGATTTTAAGAGAGGATAATATGAGGAGATGTGATAAAGTACATATCTATAAAGCTAATCAATAATAAATTTTTAAAAAGAAGTGATAAGCTAATGTCTTAGATTGGTGTGCATTGACAAATAATTTTGACAGTTGAGTAAGTAACTCCAATGGTTTAGATGTGAATAATGACAGGCAACAAAGGCTGATTTACTGGCTTTTTTTAATTAAGATTAGAAAAACTGGAATTACATAAGTATTCTTGCTGAATTCTACTTAATTGATTTGCTGTTAGGCCAAAAGGATTCTTGAAGGAGATCATGGCTCACCTACTGGAGAGATAGATGATGAAGACAAAGTAAGTGCCAATCTATAAGTAATGCTTTTAGAACAAAACAAAAAATTTTTAATTATTTATTTCTTATACATACAGTGTTCTGTCTGCATGTGTCCTTGTAGGCCAGAAGAGGGCGCCAGATCTCATTACAAGTGGTTGTGAGCCACCATGTGGTTGCTGGGAATTGAACTCACGACCTCTGGAAGAGCAGCCAGTGCTCTTAACCACTGAGCCATCTCTCCGGCCCCACAAAACAAAATTTTAACAGCTTTTATCTTAATATTTTTTACAAGTATGTAATTAAATGTCTTTTCTTATTACAAACCATGGTTTTTCTTTTGGCTTTTTTTTTTTATTTTTTGAGACATGTTTTCTCTGTGTAGCTTTGGTGCCTGTCCTGGATCTTATTCTGTAGCCCAGACTGGCCTTGAACTCACAGAGATCCGCCTGGCTCTGCCTCACGAGTGCTGAGATTAAAGGCATGTGTCACCACCACCCAGCACAGTTTTGCTTTTAAAACAAAACTAGATTGTCAGAAGTAATTCTTTATATTATTACAGAGTGACTATTATTGCTATGAAAGCTCTACCACGTATACCTTTTTAAAACATTCCAAGAATTAATTATTTACGTTGTTTACAGGACAAGGATGAGACTGAAACTATTAAGCAGACTCAGACTTCTGAGGTCTATGATGCCAAAGGTCCCAAAAATGTAAGATCTGATGTTTCTGATCAAGAGGAAGATGAAGAAAGTGAAAGGTGTCCTGTGTCTATTAGTAAGTTTAAAGGCTTTGAGACATAATTATTCGTAAGTTTTATATAGGTCACTTATAGTTTGTAGGGATGCATTGAGAATTTTGTCAAACTGTGGTTTTGAATCCCAGTATCATTTTGACTGAGTGCTGTGCTTGACCTGCTGAAATTGCCTTGCCATTCAGCACCAGAGTTTGTAGTGTGCACTGGTTTGAGTCCTTCTGATACCATCCATGTACACAGTACCTGTGTCACTCGTGATGCAGCTGACAGTTGCCATCACTAAGATTGCCTGGGGAGATGTGGTGATGTACAGCAGTAGGAGACTGAGGTAGTGGGGTAATTGAAGTCCAGGAGTTAGTACCAGCAACACAGTCAGACTCATTTCTACACCCACCCCCCATCCTGAAGATTGATTTGTGAGTTGACTAAAATTTGTGTGTAATCACCTTAGATCTATCTAAAGCTGAAAGTCAGGCTTTAACTAATTATGGAAGTGGAGAAGATGAAAATGAGGATGAAGAAATGGAAGACTTTGAGGAGAGTCCTGTGGATGTCCAGACTTCACTTCAGGCTAACACCGAAACTCCAGAAGAGAATGAGCACGACAGTCAGGTATCTGTTAAAAACCAGTTCCCCTCCACCAGGCCTGTGGTGAAAACAGGAGCCTTCTGAACACTGTCAGAGTGAATGCCCTTTCCAGTCTCATTTTCATGATTAAAATGGTTAGTAAAACTTAGTGTATTTATTTAGATCTGAAACATGCCTGCTAGGTGGCATGTATAATTAATCCCAGCACTCTGGAAGCAAAGGTCGACAGATCTGAGGTCAAGGCCAGACAGGGCTATAAAAGGAGACTTTGTCTCAAAAACAAAAAAATCTGAAGCACTAGTTTTATAGTTAATAATCTTTGAAACACTTTAATCTTTTTTATTACAAGTTGTAAAACTTTAGAAGATATAAATTTTTAAAATTTCCTATTTTTCTCCTAGTCACAAATTAAAATAATATATAACAAGCATAAAATCGTTTATTTCCTGCCTTTACTTTATCTAGCTCAAGAGGCTATCTATACCTGATACAGTTTCTTCTGCTGTTTACTTCAGTTTTTTTTAAAGATGTATTTATTTGTTTGTTTGTTTGTTTATACAGTATTCTGCCTGCACATCAGAAGAGGGCTCTAGATCTCATTATAGATGGTTGTGAGCCACCATGTGGTTGCTGGGAATTGAACTCATGACCTCTGGAAGAACAGCCAGTGCTCTTAACCTCTGAGCCATCTCTCCAGCTCCCTACTTCAGTTTTTTGAGTGACTGTGTGTGTGTGTGTGTGTGTGTGTGTGTGTGTGTGTGTGTGTGTGTGTGTGTGTGTGTTGATTAAATCTGTTTAATATTTAGACTTTGCCAAAGTATATAAATATTTCCAGCCTCTGAACGAAGTAAATATTGTTACTGCTCATTGTACATCCCTTGTACAGATGTAGTGATGGTCTCCATTTTTATAAGTATTCTTTGAACATATAAATTCCTGAGTATTCTATCCTGTCCTCTAGCAGCTCTCTATACAAGCCTCTCCACAGAATTTGGTACATGAACTAAATAATCTTTCCTTCTGTTTTTCCCTTCTTCAAGTACTATCCCTTTCTGCTGCATTCTAGATTTAGCTCTTAGATCTGCTGAATAGTTACCAACCTAAGAATTTATTTTTCTCCATTATGTTCATCAGGTCTCTGTTTATGGAATCTGATCCTTTGTCTTTCTCCTTTGTGGTTTGTGACCTCATTTCAGGGGTAATAAATCTGCTGGTACCCTTGTGAGAAAGAATGCATAAAAGGTTACATATTTAAAAAGTTCTTAAGTGTTGAAGGTATTTTCCTTTAGATATTGATTGTACTGCTTCATCATCTTGGTTACAGAGCTGCTTTGCAGGTGTCCTGGGATTTCTTAATTCTAACCATACATGTATAGCTTTGTCCTGTTCCCTACACTGAAAGCCTTCCACCCCAAAGAATTTGGAGTTTTACAGCGTTGTTGTGGTTTTTTTTTCTGTTGTCTGAGTATTCGTTTGGTCTTCCCTATTTATATTTTCTTACATTTGTTAAATTTTCTTTATTTGCTTTATTTCTCTTCTCTCTGTGTTAATTATAGATGGTAAAATAGTTAGCCCCTGGTTGATAATCTCATTTTTCTTCTCTGTTCCTTTTACTGTCCCATTGCTTTATCATTTTGCTTTACTTTCTGGGATGTATCCTAGGTCTTAATACTTGTATTAATTAGTTTTTATTTTATTTCAACTTTCCTAACTACTCTGTCTAAACACTTTTAACGTTTTTCTGATTATTTTTTATAATGTCACATGTTTTCTTCTATACCTGAAAGCTTTAGATAGCTATCTGCTGAACCTTGGCTGTTTAAAGATTTATAGATACACACACACACAATTTTGAAAAAATGTCTTGAGTTCTTTGGAGTTTCTGTGTAAGGCATTTTTATAGGCAGTTCTCTTTCTGATAGAAAGTCCCAGTTGTCAGTTTACATTGGTGCTTTCCTTGGTTTCTTCAGAAAAGGTTCTTCATTCTTCACCCTGGCATAGAAGTTTTGTTGTTGGCATTCTTGAGCTAAATGGGTGGAGTAGGTATCCCACCATTATGCGGACTTAAACTAAACCCCTATTTTCAGTGTAGTTTCTTTTACCATGTCTACCTCCTTCCACTTCAACCCTTTGTGTGAAACTAGTTCAGTTCTCTAAAAAAATGTCATCTTGTACTTTCTGTGAGGTTGGACATGAAACGCTAGGAGTCGCCACTTCCTTAAAAGACAAACAGCTCCCCAGCATCTCCCCTTGTGATGCTCCTCAACCCTGCCCTGCCATTGTAGCCCTCCCTCGCATCCACTGCTTCCACTTGTGGGATGAATTCAGATTAGATTCTCCTTCTGCTACAAGCATTTGATGTGGTTCATCTTCCTCCTCTTTCTCACTTCTGCTTCAGGCTTTCAGTTCACTTAAGGCTTACAATTAGAGACAGCCTTTAATTTTGAGATAAGGTCCTGAGAAAAAATGTAAAAGCTTGTGGGATCTATTTTATTCTATCATTTGTTTTGTGCTTATCTAAGAAGGAAACCTTTTTTTAATTACCCATCTTTTAATTGTTAACTAAAGGCGCCTTGAAACACTTTAAGAAGACTATATTACATTTCCCTTTTTATAGCTCTGGGGTTGGACAAAAACCACACAGTAGTAATTACCTCTTCTATAGGGACATATATTTTTAGGTCTTGCTATTAAAACATATTTTTCTTTTAGGTGCTACAACATGATCCGGAAAAAATATCAGAAAGCACAACTGTACCGTCAGACCAAGAACCAACTAGTAAGAGTAAGAAGTCTAAATAACCCTAATTTTTACACTTTTTAAAATATTTTCAAGTGTGCTCAAAACTAAAAAAAGTAGTTTTTAATTCTAGGCTAATGTAAGTGTAAACACACTTTGGACTTAATGTCTATCTTTGTTATCCTGGTAAATATTTTGTGTAAAAGAACAGTGATTGATTTGATTTTTGTTGTTTAGTTTGGTTAAGTTTTTAAAAACAGCCTTGTATAGCCCAAGCTGGCCTTGAACTCTTTATGTAGTTTGAAGATAACCTTGAACTTCAGATCCTTCTGCCTCTGCTTCTGTCATTGAATTGCAGGTGCATGCACCCATATTGTGCCTCCAACTAGCAATTATTTTCCATTTATTTGTTTGTTTATGTATTTATTTATTTTGCGGCAGGGTCTCAGTCTGTAGCCCTAGCTTGCCTGGAACACCCTATATAAATCAGGTTGGCCTCTAACTTGAAATATCTGCCTGCTTTTGCTTCCCACATTCTGGGATTAATGGCATGGGACCCTTGCCCAGTGCAAGTACTTTTATTTATTTATTTTTTAAATGTGTGTGTACCTAAGTATGTGCATGTATATCACATGCATGTAGTGCCCACAGAGGCCAGAAGAGGGTACTAGATCTTCTAGAACTGCAGTTACACTCCATTGTGAACTACTTGGTGTGGGTGCTGGGACCTGAACTCTAGTCCTCTGTGAAAACAGCAAGTGCTTTTAACAGCTAAGCCATCTCAGCAGCTCTCCCCCCCCCCCCCCGCCTTCTTTTATTTATATTTGGCAAATGTTTAGCTGTACCCAAAATTTATCCACAGTTTCTTTAGAGAAAAATGAGAGGGGTTTGTTTTAAAATAATACTCATTTTAGGGCTTTGGTCTTAAAAATCCTAATTCATTATTCCTTATTCACTGAAATCATTTGGCCTTAAGGAATTTATTTTAACATGTTCCTAGCTAAATCTGTTCAACTAAACTTGAGAGCCATGATAAGTAAAATCTGGATGGGGATCTTTGGGTCTTCATGTCTTGACTACTCTTGTTCATGGTACTGTCTTCCCTTAGTGTTGTGGATTGAACAGGTGCTTCATTTTTCTAACGTGGAGACTTCCTTTTGATGGCAGATGATCAAGACAGCAGCTCTCCTGTGAAACCTTGTTATCTCAATATCTTGGAAAATGGACAACCTTTAAATAGCACTACCCATAAGGACTCACTCACTCCTACTGATTCATCTAAACAGCCTGACCCTACGCCATTACCCTTAACTGCAAGTGAAACCTTAGTGCCTAACGTCAAAGAAGTGAAATCTGCTCAGGAGACTCCCGAGAGCTCTCTGGCTGGAAGTCCTGATACTGAATCTCCAGTGTTAGTGAATGACTATGTATGTAATGGTTACATTTCCAAGTATTTTTGCATTTGTATTTCTGTTTATATTTTATTTTCGACTAACACATTGAGGTATAAATTTGGGGTATGGCAGAGAACTGTTCAACAGAGTCAGTATTTATATGTAGCAAGTCACATAACAGTATACTAGGAAATCACACTTATAATAAGAAGTACCTAAGTTAGTTTTACTCTGAACCTTGATTTCATTTCAATTTAATAGCAAACAGGTTAGTTTGGGGATGTTTAGGTTACTTTTTAAAAAATTTTTTTAAAAGATTAATCATTATGTATATAATATTATGTCCACATGTGTCCCTGCATGACAGAAGAGGGCACCAGATCTCATTACAGGTGGTTGTGAGCCACCATGTGGGTGTTGGGAATTGAACTGAGAACCTCTGGAAGAGGAATCAGTTCTCTTAACTGCTGAGCCATCTCTCCAGCCCCTAGGTTACATATTTTTAATATAATTTTTCTTAGCAAAAATGAAGCATCATATTTGAAACTTGGTGGGTACAATGTATCCCTTCCCTTTTTGTTGCTATTTGGTTTTTTGGGTTTGTTATTTTGATCTGGCCATTCTGTAACTTGATAGGTAGATAGACTGGCCTGGAACTTTAGGTGTTCCTCCTGCCTCTGCCTCTTGAGTGCTGGGATTACAGGTGTCTGTCACCACTACTAGCCTTTGGTTCATTTTTTTTTTTTTTTAATTAAAATTGACTGTGTTCTTAAAGCTATTTTTCTAGTTATGACTTACAGAAAGTCAGAAAGGGAACTAAGAATGTTTCAAAAACATCAGTAGAAACTATTATAAGCTGCTTTGTTTTCTTGCCATGTACACTTACACATTCAAAGCTCTGAAAATTAACTGATTTAGTCTTTAAATGTTGCAGCAGCATTTATTTATTTTATGCGTATGTGTCTGAATGTATGTATGCTTGCGAGCCCATAGAAGTCAGAAGCGGTATTGGTTTCCCTGGAACTGGAATTGCAGATGGCTGTGAGCCACCACATAGGTGTTGAGAATTGAACCTGGGTCCTTAGAAGAGCAGCCAATAATCTTAACCACTGAGCCATTTCTCTAGCCCCTTTCAGAAATCTTTATTATATTAATTAGTTGACAGAGAGAGAGAGCAAGAGCAGGTGCAGGCATGTGAATGTATGCAGCACAGCCCGTGTGTGGAAGTCAGAGGACAGCCTGCCGGAGTTTGTTTTCTCATCCGCATTGTGGTCTGGGGGTGGAACTCAGGCTCAGCAGCAAGTGCCTTAACCAGATGAGCCATCTCCCTGCCCCTACCCAGCCGATTCTGATTTGTTTGTTTGTCTTTTGAGATGTGCTCTCTATTTATTCCTGCTAGCTTGCTGTAGAGAGCAAACTGACCTCAAACCCACAGAGCTCTGCTTGCCTTTGTTTGCCTCCTGAGTTCTGTGTATGTTGTTCTGTAAACTATATGTTTTTAAATCATTCATATAAATATGAATATATAAAACTCCACCTTATTTCTAGGCATGAGTGATTTAGATTTTGATACAGAGGCAAAGGTGTTGTGCTTTTTGCTTTTGTTCATTAACTATACTTACCTTCCAGGAAGCGGAATCTGGGAATATAAGTCAAAAGTCTGATGAAGAAGACTTTGTGAAAGTTGATGATTTGCCGCTCAAGCTGACAGTCTATTCTGAGGTACTCGGCTCTCTTCAGCTAAGCTTGTCTTTATAACAAATATTAGATGAAAGATTATACTTTTAATTTTCATTCTAAAGGCAGAGCTAAGGAAGAAAATGGTAGAAGAAGAACAGAAAAACCATTTATCTGATGAAATATGTGAAATGCAGACTGAAGAATTAGCTGGAAATTCTCAGATACTGAAAGAACCTGGTAAACTTTACCAATTTTAATTTTGTATTGAAAAATCATGATCACACCAGTCTAGTTTGTTTTTGAAACGTACTATTACTTCCTAGAAAATCTAAGAAGACAGTCTGTCAATTCAGCCGCTTGATTCTTTTCAAATTATATCAGATTATGTTCTCTATTTTTCAAAATCTTTAGTTTTAATAAAGTACTAGATGCAACTCTAATGTAAATGTTTTATGATTTCTTAATGCTTCAAATACATGTAATACATGTAATATCTTTCATCTCCCATGTAAAAAGTGTGTATTGAGATCCATTTCCCTTCCTGTCATTGTGTTCACATTAGTTTTGGGAGTTTGCCTTTATTATTTTAAATGTCCTTTAAACTTCTTTGTTGCAGAAAGTTAAAAAAAATCATATTATTACATTATTAATTTTATTCAGATAAGCACAGTTTATTTTTACAATTGTAATTAAACCTTATACTTATTTCATACACACACACACACACACCAATTTCATTCTCTATGGATGTAATGGTACAACTTCTGAGCTGCTCAGAGTATTTCTTGTATCAAAACCAAAGCATTTTCATCGTGTTATTTTCTTTCAATAGTTAAAATCATATAAGATTTTTTTTCTGGAAATGAGATGTTGGACAGAACATTTAGATATATCAGAGTTTGCTTTTTAGCTCAGTTCTGCCCATCTGAATACATGGCGTCCTTATCAGCTGCAGCCTGTTCTAGGGGCCAAGCCACAGCTCTCTCTTCATCCAGCCTCATGTACCCAGGGCTTTCAAGGACATTGTTGGGATCGTGTCTGCCTTCCAGCCACTCTTCTTTTGTCTACATTTAATCATTTTTATAGTTACTTTCTTTTTCTCTAGTGGAGTTTTTTAGAGAGAAAAATATTTGCTTGGTCTCCATTCATGAAAAACAAATACTCATTCTGTGTTTTGCCAGGGAATTTGAACTGAATTCACACTTTTTATTGTGGTCTTGTACATAAAGTAAAGCTTTAATGGAAGAGACTATTAAAAGTAAATTTTAGTAATATTTTAATTCACCAATTTATAAAACATTAACCATTATTCTTCTTTTCAGAAACAGTGGGAGCCCAGAGTATATGAACTGTCTTCAGGGACTCATCTAATTCTCTTACATAGTCAGTGCATATAAAAAGACACTAAATAAATATCTGTTTTGATCTGTATAAAATGTAAATTAGTTTGACACTGCATTTTTGATGGGTGTGCTAATCTCTGCCTGTGGCAGTTTAAAACATCAGAATCTGAATCCTGGACAGATTCAAACCTTGACACACTGTGGGAATTTTCTTTTTATTTTATTATTATTTTGTTGTTATTGTTATGGTCTTGACCCTCACCCTTCATTGTGATGTTTTGATATGTTAACTTTAAAATGTAGTTTTAAATAAAGTTTGAACTTATCTGTAAAGTATGCTTTTGGGAAATTTTGTTGAATTCTATGCAGCAAATTGCTGTTTTATGTAACTTAACACTATTCCGAACCAGCAGTGGTCAAGAATTGGAGAAATACATTAATTACTCTAGAGCCCAGCCTTAGACCAGTCTTCAGAATAATGCCAGTGTTACTGCTGTTGGGTCTGATGGTCTCATAATTCCTTCCTGGTCCTGTGTAAGGATAAAGTAGACTTTATAAAGGTGACCAGGAGTAGAGTGGTCATAGAACATGTTAGTAACCCACATTGTGTACGAGGTTTAGATTATGTTAGTACTTAGGACTTCACAAAATTATCTATTAGATTAATATTTTCCAGAGTTGCAAATCCTGTCTAAAAATTAACAAACAAGCATTATATAAATGTAGGGAGTATTTCTGTACAGACAAGTAGCATTCTAATTAATTTAAAATGAAAACCCAAACTCTTTCAAGTAGGATAAATAGAACTAAATTTATGTACAGAACATTAAGACTTGTAATGCCTTTGGACAAACATGCCTTTTGAGATGATAATTTAAAACCAAAGCCTAACAGTTGGTTTTGTGTGTCCTGAGGGAGAGAAGCAAGTCAATTGTTAAGGAAGTCTCTGAGCTCTTCATCACTTATAAACCAACTTTAAAAAAGTGCTTTGTCTTCTGATTCCGTCATGCTTACCACCACCCTGATTGGTATTCTCGTAGAGCCAGTTAACCGTGAATAAGTCAGTCTTACAGACTTTTACTTGAAAAGTCAGTGTTAATTCCAAGTATCTACTTAAATTTGTTCAATATTGTCTAAAATACCCTCTAAGAACTTGTTTGGTATTCCTTTAAAATTCTCACTTGCTTGATGGCTTAATATAAATGTCCATTCAGGGAATAAAAATGACAATTTCCCTCTGAGGACTTTTATTGTATTGTTATTTAATTTAAAGTAAGACCATATATCTTGGATGTCATTCAAATTTATTTGGAAACTACCAATCCAGAATCAAGGATTCTTACCCAGTTGGACTGACTTCAGGGACATTAGAACAATAATTTATATGTACAAACAAGTTGTATATTTTCCAGACTCAAAGCAAGAAACTTGGTTTGAACCCTCAAGCCAGGCCTTACAATTGCAGTGCATTCTCCTCCTCCCCCTCCTTCTCTCTCTGCATGCTTCAGTGGATGAATTGGTTTAGATGTTAGCTCTTACCATGGTACCTATGGACTTCATCAAACTACTTTATTTGACTTACATTAGAGCTGCTATCTAGTCTGTTGTTTTCATATTTTAGTAGGTAATTTAGTTTTAAAATACCCAGAGATTGAGAACAGATAATGTATGTAATATATTTTTTTCTAGTAAGTATTGCTCAAAAGTTAATTAAATTAAGTATTCCTATTTGTCTTAATTTGTAAGTTAAAACTTTGGTTAGTGATAAGAGAGAGAGAAAAAATCCCAATGAGTAAGCTACAACTCTACAAAGTTAGAGATAACACTATAATAATGAACTACCCAGACTATGGAGGTACTCTGTATTTTGTAACATTCACTTTGGGTAAATGCTTTTTCACTGTTAATAAATGTATATCCTACATATAACTCTGAATTGTATTTTTATTTAAATTGACGTACTCACTGCACTTTAGAATTCATTCCAGAATTGTGTCTGACTTGGCAGTATTTAATATTAAAAAAATCAGGCCATGAAAAATAATACTACACTGACGAAAGGTATCACTGCAGAGTATTTTTCTTATGAAGAGCAGATTCTTGATTATTTCTCAGTTCCATTTTTTTTTATAAATACCGTTGATATATACATAACAAAGAGATTGTGAGTTTGAATCTATCTTCCCTGACTTGAAAATATCTGAGAGAATATAAATATCAAGTATGATACAAAAAAGCTTGTGTGGACTTGGGGAAGCATACTTTTTCAGATTTGTTCTAGAAGAGGGGTGTTATTGTAAAATCACCTATCATTTACGCCTAATAACTAAACCCAGCATGAGACAGAGTAAAGCAGCCTTCCACCAGCTCTTCAAAGGAGCTGGAATTCTATTCTAGCTGCCTACCTCGGACCTTAACAACAGTTGTGACCTCCATGTCAGTAGACTCATCCTCAGTGTTTTCCTGTTAGTACAGAAATGGGTTTGAGGAGGACACTGCAGAGAATGTACTGATCAAAAAGGGCAGATTATCAAACTAGTGAACCAAAATGCCTGCCTGTTTTTAAACAAACACATATGCATTAAGTCGTTACATTTATCTATATGGAGGGATGCATGTGTACTATGATGGACATGTGGGGAGGTCAGAGGACAACTTGGAGTCTGTTCTCTCCTACCATGTAGGTCCCAGGGATTGAACTCAGGTCTTCAGCCTTGGCAGCAAGCACCTTTACCCCATGAGCCTTCTCACTGGCCCAACAAGTGTTTTTAGTGCTGTGTCTTATTTGACATTCCCCAGATTGTTGGTTTCTAGGTTTTAAAGCAGTGGGATAGGACAAAGATTGTAATATACATTTTGCATCAACTTCCTGGTGACCCTGTATGTTTTTGCTGCAAGGATTAAATAGGACATCCAGGATTTTGTCAAGTCCTCCAAAGTCTATATTTCTAAGCCAGATATGCAGATTTTTTACATGAAAAATGCTATAAAATTAATGAAGTAGCAGACTGATAAAGGAGAAATTGTGCAAACATGTTTGGGCAGAGGAAAAGGTTTATTTGTAATTTTTTTGAATAAAAATATTAAAGGCCTTTAATATTCTGCTAGCTGTCAATATCTCTTCAGTGGATTTTTTCAAATCTATTTCTCAGTAGAAAGTGTAATGTCGAATTTATTTCAAAATAGGATTAAGGGCTAGAAAGAATGCTTAGCAGTTAAAGAGTGCCTGCTGCTCTTGAAGAGGATTGGAGTTCAGTTCCCAGCTCACAACCTGCAGCTCCCCCTCTAAGGGATCTGATGCTCTCTTCTGGCTCCTGTGGGCACTGCATGCACCTAGTACTCATAAACTCAGGCACATATGTACGTCTAAAAGTAAAATCTAAGGGTAATGATGGAAAAAAAATCACTAGAAAAAGTGAATGAAGTTTATCAGTATTAACCCACATAGTGTGCCGTTCATGATTTGAGAACTTTGATTTCCATTTTTAAAGTAACCATTTAGGGGGAACAGCAGGTAGAAAGCATGTCAAGAACCATCTGTACTAAGAAGAGTTGAGAACTGACTGACACTGGCTCTATCACTGTGGTAATGACTGGTAACAATGACTGAACGGTTTCTTCAATTGTAAGGTGAGAAGATAGCGTGTATGCCTCACTGCTTAAGAGAATGGGAGGGGTTCGGCATATCAGGAGTAGGATGTCTAGCATGCACAAAGTTCCATGATCATCAGCACTGCAAAAGGGGAGGAGAACGGACTAAGGAGGGATGAGGAGGAGGAGAAGATCAATTTGACATTAATAAAGATAATTAAAACTGAAAAGGGGGAGTCAAGTTGATGCCTGGATGTCATGGCCACCTGAGAACAATACTAAGAAGGGAAATAGTAGTTTGGGTTTTTTCATTCAGCAAGATGTTTTATTGTTTTTATCCCATCTCTCTGAGGTAGACTAACACTAAGTAACCCACTAATGTGACTCTCAATATGAATAGACCAGAAGACAAAAACTTCAAGATCACTGGAATAAAAAAAGGCACCAAAAGGCAATTTTTTAAAAATTTTTTAGAAATCCTTTTGTCTTTTTTTTTTCTTCACAATTGAAAATAGATTCTTTTCTCATAGAATATATCCTGATTATAATTCCCCCCTCTTCTCCCAGTTTCTCTCCACCTCCCCTCCTCTCTGGTCCACTCCTTTTCTGTCTCTCTGGAAAAGAACAGGCTTCTAAGAGATGATAACCAAAGATAACAATAAGATGAAGTAAAAACTATCATACCAAAGTTGGACATGGCAACCCAATAGAAAAAGAGTCCCAAGAGCAGGCACAAGAGTGAGAGACCCACTCATTCTCACAGTCAGAAGCCCCATAAAAATACTAAGCTAAAAGCAATACTATATACACAAGAGGACCTGGTGTAGGCCCTGTGCTCTCTGCTTCAGTGTCTGTGAGCTCATGTGGAAAGGTGATGTTTTAAATTCTTTATGTGCATTGGTGTTCTACATGTATGTCTGTGTGAGAGTGCCAGATCTCCTGAAACTGGAGCTATAGACAGTTGTGAGCTGCCATATAGGTGCTGGGAATTGAACCCAGGACCTCTGGAAGAGCAGCCGGTGCTCTTAACCATTCAATCATCTCTCAAGCCCCACAAAAAGGATTAAATAAATTAGTTCTAACCAGAGATTATTTCTTCCAAACCTCCTACTAGCATTCTTTTTTTTAAAGGATTTTTCAATTTTCATATGCATTGATGTTTTATCTGAATGTATGTGTAAAGGTGTTGAATCCCCTGGAACTGGAATTACAGACAGTTTGAGTTGCCATGTGGGTGCTGGGAATTGAACCTGGGTCCTCTGGAAAAGCAGCCAATGCTCTTAAATGCTGAGCCATCTCTCTAGTGCCCCCCCCCCAACTAGCATTCTTAAATAATGAAAACATAAGATACTCTATTATTAAAATCAAGGAAAATAAGCGCCATTAATTACAACTTATATTCCACATTGTAACATAGATTTTTTTCCTAGTTTGTAAAATAAAATAAGAACACCACAAGATAATGGCCCACAGATTCAACTAACCAGGACTCACAGAGACTGAAGTGACAACCTTGGAACATATATGGGTCAGATCTAGGTCCTCTGCATTTATGTTATGGTTGTGTAGCTTGATATTCTTATGGGACTCCTAACCGTGGGAGCAGGAGCTGTCTCTGACTCTTGCTGGCTTTGGGGACCTCTTTCTTCCTGCTGGGTTGCCTAGTCCAGCCTTAATATGGCAGGATGTGCCTAGTCTTGTAACTTGATATGCCCTGTTTGGTTGATGTCCTTGGGAGGCCTGCCTTTTCTAAAGGACGAGGGGGAGTGGATCTGGGAGGAAAGGAGAGAAGAGGTTATGGGGAGGAACTGGGAGGAAAGGAGGAGAAGAAACTGGTTGGGATGTAATAGAGAATAAAAAAAAAATGGAAAGAGTTAAAACCGACAGTATTCATTGTCAATAACAAAAAATTCAAGTTAATACACAGATTAACCTATACAAGTTTGTACGTAGTTAGCTACATTCCTTTTGTGTATTTGTATGTATGGCATACTCAGGTCTGCGCATGTGCAGACCATTCTGTACTGGCAATTCACACGATTCCAGTCAAGTAGAGCAACACCACTTTTAAATACTTGACAGGAAAAATGTTACTGGGTTCACCCATGCATCTGTGTGAGTAACACTCCAAACAGTCCTGAGGTATCTAACCACACCTGGTACTGGCTTCTGCTGAACTGCCTGCAAAGTTGAGAAACAGTTTAAGTCTAGCTTCCTGAACCTAGAGGAACTAGGAAAAAATAATCGTGGATCATTTATTTTACAAAGGCAAAGAAGAAAATCACAAGGCAGTTAAGTCTCCAGCCAGTCCACTGGTGAAGCAGTTGGAATTCCAACGTTTCCTGCCGGTTGGCATGTTATGGCATGATGTTTGTGGGCTGGTGGTGTGCCTCAGTGGGTACCTGCCACAAGCCTGATGACCTGAGTTCTATTCCTGCAACCCACATGGTGGAGAAAGCCAGCTGCACAAAGTAGTCATCTGACCACTCCATGTGAAATAGCACACATTAAATAATAGTATTTATAAGACATGCTGAGGTAAGCTGGAGGAGACATAGTGAAAAATTCATTTTATTTCCTTTAAATTATGAAATAAAACAAAAATATCAAGGAAAATTACACATCAAATATTCAAAGGTACATACTTTCCTAACATTCTCTCAGTATATTTGATGTCTGAAATAGCAACTTACAGTTCTTAATCAAGTCTTATTGATATCTTCAGTTTCTTTTGTTTTTGAGACTAGGTCTCAACATAGTTCAGGCTGGCCTCAAACTAGCAATGTAGCTGAGGTTGCCTTTGAACTCCTGACCCTCCCAAGTACTGGGATTATAGATGTGCTACCAAATCTGGCCTTAACATTTTAGGCACTGTGAATAAATTTAGAAGCATAATCGGGTGGCAATATATAAAATTACATTTCTTGTGTGCCGGGGATGGCATATAAGATGGCTGACGTGCCGCCAGCAAAGATTGGAGAAAAGGGGACCTGAGATTGTGGACCATCAAGCCTCTGTGTATTCCCCTCCGGATCTTCTGCTTAGCATGCCTCTAGAGGACCAAGGCAGAAATGCCTACGTGTCCCAAGGTCATGCTTTATGGCATGCACATGTCATGTCCTCCTCCATATAATTACTTCTTGTAATACTAGTCTTTTTCTTCTGTCTGATCTTCATGTTCTGTGTTCCTAGATCAATGGTGATTTCTGTGATACAGGAAAGGAATGAAGTAAATTTCACAGGAAATTATACAGAGATGATCACTCAGGCTGGGGTTGAGGCAGTTATGTAGTTCATGGAAAAGAACCTGCACCCTGGAGAAGCTTTTTAGGCTTGGA